TGCCCCGCGGGGGCACCGTGCTTAGCCACTGGCCGGGGCCACCGCCAGGGACCTTCCCAGCGGCGAGCGCTGCGCGCCCTGCCCGACGCAGGAGCTCCACAGGAAAGCTGCTGCCACTTGCAGCTTTGCCCTTCGTGAGCAGCCGAGGCCCGGCTTTTCCCTGTTTTCTCCTCCAAGGGAGCAGACCTCTATCTCCATGGGCCTCAGTGTCCCCACAGCAGCGGCATGATTTTCACCTAGAGTTTAGTCACCTGCATGACCCGCCACGCAATTTCCCGGGACCTGAAAAGAATCACAGATACTCTGAAAGCACAAGTCCAGCCTTACATCTGTACCTCTTGGCCACCTCTAATGTGCCAGGGACCCAGCATGAATGGGACGCCGTGGCCCTGGAAAAGCCCGGATTCTGCTGAGGAGAGAGGCAAGAAAGAGATAAAGGGACAAAGATCATTTCCTGTAGGGTTGCTAGGGAAGACCTCACCAGGAGCCTGGCTCTGGGGTAAAGGCTGGGGACCGGGGCGTCACTTCTGTAGTCACGTAGAGCCTCTCTGGGAAGGCGATATCTAGACAAACCTGGCTGATGGAAAATTTGGGCGAAGAGTGTTCTGAGGGTGGGAACCCAAAGCCAGCGAGGGCTCTGTGTGTTGGAGTTGAGGCTGAGCAAGGAGGGCAGCGGAGGTAGAGAGGTTGGCAGGTAACGAGTACACCTGGGCAATTGTTCAAAGCAGATTCCCAGGCCCCTCGCTGCAGCTTCTGATTCTGTAAGTCTGGAATAGAGATTCAGGAATGTGTCTTTTTCAGCAAGCACCCAAGGTGAAGGTTATGAACAGGTACTTTTGGGGAACACTACGTAAGAACCCAATACCATCCCCCAATAAACACTTCCAGGGCCTTGGACCAAGTCAGCCAAAGTCAGAAAACAGACTCACGGAGGCAGAAAAAGAACGATGGTCCTTGGTCCTTACACAGTGTTAGAATCACCTGGGACAGTTTTTTGTTTTTATTTTTGTTTTTTTTTATGGGGACATTGGTTAACGAAATCCAGTAAGTTTCAGCTGTACATTTTAACAGTCAGGCTTCAATGTGAACCCAATGAACCAGAACATCCCATGGCGTCTTTTTTTTAATGACCCCAGATGAATCTAACATGCAGCCAGTGCTGAGAATCACCGGATCAGAAGAGTAGGTGGGAGCAGTTCAGGGATCCTGAGAACCCCAGCCTGACCTCCATGGGGACTGACTCGAACCCTTCCCCGTGCGACAGAGGATGGAGAATGTGCACTCTTCGGGGCAGCCATCTTTGCTCCGTGAAGGGATTTGTGCAAGGCTATCAGTCGTCATTCATATTTATTCGAGCACCTGCTAGGTACCCAGCACTGCCGTAGATCTTGGGGATGCAGCCGCCAACAGGACATCGCCTCTACCCTCATCGAGTTTATATCCTGGTAGCCGAGGACCAGCAATGGATAGGGTCCCTCCAATTGCACTTAGACCGGAGGAGGTCTTTAACCCAGGCTGCACGTGAGACTCACCTGGAGAGCTGTTGATAAATTCAAATGGCTGGGCTCCGCCAGAGACCAGTTACAATCTGAATGTTTGAGGGTGGGGCCTGGGCCACACGGTATTTTGTAAAAGCTCCCCAGAGGCCTCCAGTGTGTGGCCAGGGATGAGAACCACTGGTTTAGACTCAAACTCCATTCCAGGGGCCTGGGCCTGGCTCGGGACTCACTGAGTTTCAGCCCTGCCTGTCAGAACATGAGGACGTCCACTTTGTTCCCCGACCATGAGCAGAGCTATCCTGAGTGTCTCCAACAAGCATCTTAGGGGGTGGCGGATAAATTTTGGTGGAGGAGGGGAGATGACCCAGCCTAGGACACACACAGCCAAGTACATAGAAGGGGCTGGATGCTCTTGGTCCTCATGACAGGACCCAAAGTCCAGCCCCTGACAGTTGGTCAGGGATAAACAAAGGAACCAGCCTGCCCTTGTGCTGTAGGAAAAAGAAAGGCTGGCATCACCCTCACGTGTCCTTTCTCATCCTCACCCCTAACGATTAACTGTCTCTATCCTAGTAGACGAGGGTTGATTTTGCCTACCCAGAATCCTCCCCTTCTCTGATAACCTCACCCCAGCATATCCCTTTGGGAAACTACTCAGCATAACTTGGTTCCATCTGAATACAAATATCTGAGGGGCACTGACCCTGCCCCCCACCCTCCTCCAGGTGGCTCTGTGTCCTGAGATCCCTTCAAATTGACTCTAGAGGGACTCCCTTCTTTCCATCTTCTGGGATAAAGCTCATTTTTATCTACAGCCTGGACCTCTCCTCCGAAATCTGGGCTCAGATATACATCCCCCTGACCACCCAGAATCTCTATGTGGCATCCAACTGGCATCTCAAAGCGAATGTGTCCAAACCAAACCCTACCAGCCTCTGAAACGGCTCCTCTCTCACGTTCCCAGCTCAGACAGCGCCCTCCCGTTCCTCCAGTTCTCCAACCGAAGCCCAAGAAGCGGGCCTGGATTCCTCTCCCCTTCTCAGGCCCGCACGCGAACCCTCGGCAAATCCAGGCGGCTCCATCTTCAAAACGTAACCCAAATCCCACCCCTTCTCGTCAGCTTCGCTGTCCTTCCTTCCGCCCCAGGATTCTAAGACCCCAACATCTCTCGCCCGAATGAATGCAGTAGACCCCTTTCTGGTCTCACTACCTCTCCTTCCAAAATATATACCCCATGAGCCCTCCCGTGGCGTCTTTTAAGTTTAGAATTAAATACAAACACCTGGCCTACAGGGTTCCGGATAAGCCGCCCCCGCCCCAGCTCTCCTTGGTATTATCCGTCATTCTCCCCTTTTCTTACTGCCTTCTGCCACCCCGATCCTCAAGCAAGGTTCTACTAAAAGCCAGAGCCCAAGTCAAGGTGTGGAGTATAGGATGCGACACTTAACAGCAACACAAGTCGCAGGTCTGCAGTAGCTCAGCCAAATCCGCCCTGAGCTAATAACCCTGCAGGCATATTATGTTTGGCCTGCTCCATATATATATATTTTTTTAATCTGAACTTGCATTTTTTTTTTAATTGGGAGATTTCATATGAAATTCTAAATTTCCAATGTCTCCTAAAATATGGAAAGATCTGGCCGCAGCAGGCCCATATTCTCAGATAGACCAGTCACCTGGAGCTGAGAAGAGGTCTTCACATGATTCTGCTGCTGTCAGGTCACCATAATCCCCACCCAGGTGTCCCCACCTGTCCCTGTGAACATCCTCCACAAATACGTCCGGACTCATTAGTAGAACGACTAAAAGTAGGTCATCCAAAACCCACAGAGAAGACCCCGGAGATTTGGTAGAAAATGGATTCATCCCCTTCAGGCTGAAGGAAAGTAAGAACTTGAATTTAAAACAGTACAATCATAGCAAAAATGGCAGCTGAGATAAACGGACCACTTTACATGCACTGAGAGCATCGCAGACGTGCTTTTTAAAGCCCGAAGTGCCCGCATGTATAAGGCTCCCTGTTACCCCCGCTAAGGCAGAGAGGAGGTTATGGTTGCTTTTAAAAGTCACACGGAAATGGTTTTGTCCCACATGAATCTGATACTCATTACTGAGTCACATTGTTCCTGGGTTATTAGCTAAGGGTGGATTTGTTAAGGGACATTTTTGGATCGAGATGAAACACTATTAAAAAAAAAAAAGTCTCATGACTCCCAATGATAGCAGAGGGTGAAGGGGACCTGCCTTGGGGACGCTAGACTGGGCCGAGAAGAAGACACATCACGAGATTAATGCCATCTGCTCTCGAGTGACAAAGACGGGGACCATCCCTGCAGAATCCCAGGGCTCAAGGGAACACAGTTCGAGAACCACAAAGAACACACTGTAGACTCAGAAGTACCACTTCTCCCCAACTTCTCAGCCTCGCGCTGGCCCCAGCCACCATCATCACCTGCCCAGGCCACCACGACAGCCCCCCACCTGCATTCTGAGCACCCACTCTTACCTGGCTAGAGGCCGTTCCCCACTTAATGGCCGATACGATCTTTCAAAAAGATTGACATGCTCACACCCCTCTGCTTAGAATTCCCCCAGTGCCTCCCCATGACCCTGAGAATCAACCACAAACTGCTCACAAGACCCCGCAGACCCTGCCTGGGCTTGGGTCCCTGATCTCGTCGCCTGTCATGCTTCCTCCGTCTTTTGCGGTCCAGCCTCCCAGGTCTTCTTACTGGTCATCGAACATCCCAAGCACGTCCCTCTCCTCAGGGCCTTTGCACTCACTGTTCTTCCTGCCAGGATGCTCGGCTCCCAGACATTTTACAGGCAGATCCCTTGCCATTCAGAGGTCACAAAAAAGACCTCTCTAAAGAAGCGACCCTCCAGTCTGAATTATCAGTCCTTACTGTTGTAGGTTGAATCGTGTCCTTCCCCCAAACCCTCCCCCCGGGCTCCTGTGAATGTGATCTTATTTGGAAATAGGGTCTCAGCAGGTGCAGTCAGGGGACAATGAGGTCCTTAGAGCTCAGGGCTCTCATGCAAAGACTGGGGTCCTTATGAGAAGAGGAGAGAACACACATACCACAGGACGGAGGCCGTGTGAAGACGGGGACAGAGAACGGGGTGACGCACTAACCAGCCAAGGAACACGCCACCAAAAGCTGGGAGAAACCAAGAAGGACCCTCCCCTACCAGAGAGAAGGTGGGAGAGAAGGCGTCAGAGAGAAGGTGGCCCTGCCGACACCTCGCTTTCAGATTTTTAGTCTCCAGAACTGTGAGAAAATAGATTTCTTTTGTTTTAAGCCACCCAGTTTGTGGTAATTTGTGA